TGAGGAAGACTGTTATATCGCTGAAAGCCTGGTCTTGCCTCCGCGCACTGAGTAAACTGATCGCTCTGCGGCGAAACATTGGGTTGCTGTTGGTAAGAATTGTCTGGATCTTGCAGACTGTCTGATCGATATGTATGTGGATACACCTGCTGACCAGGTACAGGCTGGGAGTCCACTGGTTTCAGCTCGTGATCGCTGCTATACGAAACAGGAACTGGTGGATATGAAGCACCAGAATTGTAGGGTATTGATGGTTGAGTGTTTGTGCTTTGCCCCTGACTGAGCTGCTCTGGTGGATTTATCTGAACTGGAGATTGCTGAGGAAAGTATGATACGGTCGATGGATGAGAGTGTGCTTGGTGGTGGGGGGAGATAAGCGGCTGTTGGTGGGGTGGTGAATGCAGGGGTTGTTGATAGGTCTGTTCGTGGGTATAGCTGAGATTGCCTCCAACAAATGCTTGTGATGGTGCTGGAGGCACTGCACCCGTCTGTGGGTAGTCGAAGTTGCTAATCGGCCGTGGCTGAATCGATGTGGGGGCGTTTTCTGGCAAAGGAGCACTTGGCTCGGGTCCTCGGTATGGTTGAGTGCGTGTCCCAGGAAGCATCGAGGTGTGATACTGGATGGTGCTGACTACGCCTGGATGATTGGGCCAGTCTCCAATAGGCGGTTTGAAGATGACTCTTTGGTTGTATCCTTCGCACTGACGTTTGGACTTGATGCAGTTTGCACAGGTAGGTCTCTCTTCACCACATTTTATGCGCCGTTTTCTGCAGGTGAGGCAACCAGTCTTGGTCCTCTTTCTCATCTTTGGGTTTGGTGCCGAAGCTGAGTTTCCGGCTGGTGGAACATCGTCTGAACCTCCCGACGATGCTCCTGCCGCCTGTACATTCGCCATGTCTTCGGAGGAAGAGGAGAACAATCAGAAACAAGGTGACTCTTGAAGTATGTTTAGCGGGGTATCGATGAAGACAAGACGAAGCAGAGAGCCGGATGGACGGCGTACCTCGGAGAAGCTTGGATCTGGAGGGTAGCTTCACTGGACGGGCGGGATGAAGTTGATCCGTTTTCAAGCGAGTACAGCGAAGTCGGAAGTGGTCAACTTGGCGAAAACGCCGATCTACTGTGTGGGGAGGTTCCGGCAAGACGCCCGGCAACGAGGTAGTCAGGTTGGCCAACGGACCGATAGTTGTAGTAGTAGGATGAGAGATGTCCTGTTGTTGGAAGTCAAGGCCTCGTATTGTATAAGAAGCCGAAGAAGATAAACTGGGTCGGTCCTTTCAAGCCGACGGGAACCATGTGGAGTAAGGGCTGTAGAGTTTAGTTATAACGAGGTCGGGAGCACGCACCAGGTGCCAGAAGGCCACTGGCGTAGATGTGAAAAAAACAGAGAGTCAGCGGCAACAAGTGCCACTGCTTGTAGGGATGGGAAGGCTGTAAGTAAAATGATAGCGCGCCCACAATGGCCACATCCGGCGTCAAGAGACCAGAGAAAGTATGGATAGTCTAGAACTAGACACTGTGCTATACTCGACTGGGAAGGGAGGGGGGCAAGGGGGCAAGGTACATGGGGGTTCGAATCAGGGAGAGCAGATGGCGTCTGACGCAGAAAGAACGGGTGCGGACACGGACTTGGGGATGTCTACAAGAGCAGGGCAAAAAGGCATGTTTCGATTCGGCAGCCGTGGTGCGAGTTGTCTTCGGAAGACATGGGACTAGACCGGGGGTTAGGGAAGGCTTGCGCTAGGACTGTGGAGAGGGCCGCCCGCAGGAATAGAGATGAAGCTGGGGGCTGTGGAGGGATCAACGGATCTGAGGCCGGGTAGGCTAGGGGAGAGGGGTATGATGTGAAGTAGCAGGGAGAGCCAGGGAGAGAGGCAGCCGGTGTGCCTGTTGTGCTTCAACGACAGCGCCAGAGGTTGGGTGGTTGCGAGCGTTGTGGGCGACGCCTGGCGGGATGCGAGTGAATTGAAGCTAGACCTCTCAAGCTGTGCCTGAATCCGGACAGCCGACTCCACCACGACGCGTTGCCGAGGATGCTCACACTCTCTTCCATTCCACCTTTTCCCCCACATGTGGGTGCACACACCACGCACCTATGGCCAGCAAGACTATCACCATAAATCACCCCCCATTCGATGTGCAGGAGGGTTTTGTCGCTCGTGCGGCAACCAGTGGCGCGCTGCCGGGGGGAAAGGGGGCCGAGGGTGTGACTCGACGACAATCTGCCCTTGCTTCTGTCTTCGTCTCGACACAGCTGTGCTGTACGTTGCTGAGAAGGCACAAAAGACAATATGTGCGGCTGTCTAGTCTGTCACACGCACACATACACACGCACGCACACACGCAGGTCCAGCTGGTCAGAGTTTATGCTTGCAGTGGGCCATTGAAGCTGTCTGGCTGTCCGCGGTAGCTGAAGTCGACTATTGTGCACTCGCCCTGCCCAACCAAGACTGCGCAGAGAATCGCCACCACCGCCTGATTGTCAACAGCCCAAAAGGCCCTGTTGCGTCTGATACCTCTGGTATTTGGCTCTGCCAGCCACTAGGGGAGGCTCGTCCGCAGGGGTATAGCGTGGGATCGACTGATGGCGTCAACCAACCTACCGGACTCTCTGAGAACGTCCAATCTCAAGTACTTCCCATGTAACCAGTACAGGAGCCCGCGGCCAGTCGTAATCCGGCGAGATGCGGGACCATCTTTGGTCATGCATAACTGCGTCCTAGGCAGCTGACTCCAACCGGCTCTTTCTCCCTCTCTCTTCAAGCCGCGCCGTCTATCTTTACACTACCCCTACTACACAAGCTTTGAATGGCTTTTGCTCAGTGACTCTGTGGAAATCGTCGCTCGAGCGGCCAGAAGCTCTGGTCCCCTTCTTTCCAATGCATCCCACGCACAGTGCGCCTGCGTGCTGATCAAGAGCCGTCGCCAGTGCTCTGGTGGGGCCATCAACTGGCCTCCTTTTCGTCCTGGCTGCCGCTCAGCTCCGTACTTGACAGAGCGAATGCGAAGAACTGGCAGTCCATCACCAGCCTCACTCATGGACGCTAATGCAAGACGCTGCGTCTTCACACCACTATGGCCTTAGTGCTGCATCCGCACCGCTCGCTCGAGTCAGCCACAAAGACAAGTCTGCCTTGATTTCCTTTTCAAAAGTCAATACCTCAGCGCAAGAGGTGCTAGCCGCCGTTGACTGATAGGACAATATATTGGCCCGCTCGGCGCAACTGCGGATCATTTCAGCTGAATAGCCACTCTTGAATAGGTGACCGATTTGACGGCAGCGGATGCTCTTCCCGCCGCCGATGGGCGCTCCTCTATTTTCAAGAGCTATCCTTGGAACTTGTCCAGGTGCCTGCGAGTGACGTCGTAAGGCCTTCCATCACCCGCACACAGGGGCTGAGGCTGCGTTGATTTAGGTAAGCTTCCGAGCCCGGGAGATCATGCACTCTATTACTCTACAGTCTAGCTGCAAAAGCAGCCCGGTTTCCAAGTCTTCGGTAGGCTCCCGACCCTGAAAGACGCTTATCGGGTGTCACCGAACGGCAAGGCCATGGACGCGTCGAGACCAGTCGGCAAAGCCCCTCTTTGGGTTTCAACGTACTGTGCACCCAACATGATGAGACCACCACCATCACCATGACACTGGATCTTCAAGCAGAAATGTAGACCCATCGCATGTCGCGTGCGTATTGTGCAAGGGTCAAAAGTTTGTTCATCCCTGGGCTTCCACGAGGCACGCACTGGGCGCACGGCGAGCGACGGCTTCAAGCAGTCCCCTCTCCTCCAAACGGCAACCACTAGCGACGTGAACCCTGGATTTTGGTGCTCAAACTCCTGCACGCTCTCGCGCCCTATCCATACCCGTCTTCGCCTAGCGTTCTGAACGGCTGGTTGACAGAAACGACCCGCCTTTACTTGCGCCTTTCCGTCAGGTATTGCGAGTAAACATGTGACCTGGATCAGAGCCCCTATCGTAGCGTAGTGGTGTCACTCGCTGCTCCACATTGGTGCGTTCCCCAGAGTGCGTTGCCGGTACCATTCTTTGTTTGGGACACTTTTCCATACTAACGGAAAAGTGTCCTTGGCCTGAAAATCACGATACTGTTTGATTGCTTATTCTAATCACGCGTTTCATGGCGTGTTCCCAGGTCTCACTAGTAAATCCGGCCAATACCGTCGGATTATAGAGGTGATCACTGGCAGGAATTCGCTGGATCACTCACCATAAGTCCCTTGAAGAGTTCGCGATCACGCGCATACACGATGCCTGTATTCTAGGGGCAATCTAGGTTTGCGCCTTTCACTCTGCAGGAGTGGTTTGCTGCGCTGTCGTGTCCATTCTCGCTCCAGCGCAAGTGGACCCAACATATCTACTTACGGACGCATAGGACAACCACACCTCATTTCCCCAGCACACATTTCTTGGTTGCGACGCCACCATAGCATCGCTGTACGGATAGGTTGTTCATGTTCAGTCCGTCAAGTCTTGCTTTGGCACTATCATGCAGACAACAAATTTCAATCCGAGCAGAGGCACCCAGAGGGCCCGCGTTAGCTCTGCTCAACGCCACAAGTCTACGCCATAGTCTCACATCTCCTGCCCACCACTGGACAGTGGCGTTCTAACTGGCCGCTGTAAGGCGGTTGTGTCGTCAGTTTAAACTCCTAGGAAATCACTCATATCCCAACATACTGGCACCCGGATTTCATGCCGCGGGGACGGAGACGGGGCGCGTCCGCTTAACGCTGCAGTGCCAGTACCTACTTTCTTTGATCGGCTACCCATGTCGAGTATCCTGGTTTACGCCAGGGACGTTATTGCGACGACATCTGAACGGCTCGCCTTCAAAACGACTTGCTCGCTTGAGTTGCCGGACATGTTAGTGCCATATGTTCCATTGTAGCAAGACGGCGAGGTCCTTTGGTCTCCTGCCGCTTTCTTCCAAGTCCTGCCCCTACACCCCGCAATATGACATCTCAACTACGCCATATCTTTCACATACGACCATAGGAAACTGAATACAATGTACCCCGTCCGATCTACAATATTTAAACAGTTTACCGGCGGACTAGTAGTCGGGTGGGTGACCACCGGCGAATCCCCGCTGTCGTATGTTTTTTTGTTTTTTGTTAGGATTTTCGTTTTTGCATGCATAGCGCAGTCCCCTTATGCAACTTAAGGTCAGCTCTCATATCCGTTACTTCTGGTGTGTACTTCGTTGTTTTTTGTTTCAAGAATTAGGACGATAGTTTTCTTTACGAGGTGTTGCCCAGCACGACCAATGCTGCCATTCTCGACACTTATGCCGGCCCACACAATGCCCCTTGCACCCACTCGGCTGATTTCTTCTGTATCACTAAGTTCAGCCAATAGCCTGTAAGACCCTGGACACGACATATGTCATCTTGCGGATGGTTGAGTTCCTGTGTATTTTTTTCGTCACATCCACCAGAAAAGCAGTGACGTGGGAATTGCTTTCTTCTGTCTCTATCACCAGATGCCCATTTCTTTCAAAGCATATCCTCAAGTCTATCCCTTGCTCTGTGTCCCGTGACACAGTGTCCGTGTCTTGCGTAGGTGGACTCGTCATCTATATAGGGATATGAGTTCTTGCTTTTTGTCCTTTGCGCTGAACGCCACGAGTATTTTTTGAGGTGCAGATTCTTGAAGTTCCGTTAAAACAGGAATATCAAATCCTCAATGTGTCAAACAGCAATATTCAAGGAAATGCAGAAGAAAAAGACTCGTCTAGTACAGGCGATAGTAATGGTGAAACGTTATCAACAGCAGTTCGCCAAGCACATCAAGATAGGCATGGAAACTGCTGAAAACAGCCTCGCACAAGCAACACCGCCATACACAACAAAAGCAATATATTGGTACCCGCCTCTCTTCAGACATGACAGCTCACATGAGCATATGAGGCATGGTACAGATCTATACATGGATGTTTTTCAACAAAGCTTGTTCAGAAATTTTTCGAAAGTGGGGTTAGTCTAGGATAAGGGAGATCCCCCCACGACCCCACTTGGTACACCTATGCAAAGTTTCATGAAAAGTCAATGAGAGGATGATCTGATCAACGGACAGGATTTTGGACTTTCGGAGGCTGCGCGCGTGATACCTTTTTGTATATAGATATAGAAACGTTAATTGAGATTTCTCCCATCAATCAAACAACATCCGATATGGTCTAGTGGCTAGGATTTGCCGCTCTCATCGCAGAGTCAGTTCACTGTACAGTGCCGGCAAGGCCCGGGTTCGATTCCCGGTGTCGGAATCATCTTTTTTGGCTGTGTGGATTATTGGGAGAGTGAAGGATCACCTTTTTGCTCTGAGAGGGTCGGGTTGTGACCAAAATACTTCAGCAGGAGAACATCAAACACCATGACCAGCGATTGGTTCATCAACCAACTTATTTTTATGTTAGACAATATGATCGAGAGCTAGGATAACACAATAATTCCAGTTCTCTTATTCACTGTGTCATTATCTTTTCCAACCTTTTTAGCCACCTTACCTTCTTCACTCTTACAACAGAATCAGGCCTGAAGTCACCCATTATAGAAGCTTCTGTATTCTTAATTCCCATCTGCGTGAAGTCGTCACGATGCTCCTGCTCAAGACATTCTCTGATAGACACAAATTTCAGTCATGAAGCCGTACTTCGGGTCAACCTACGAGCTGATATCAACATTCTGTCGTTGTCTCCTATGTGATTGATGTCATGATCAATGGACTGTAAGATGCTACGAGGTATGCAGCACTCATGGAGCATCAGTGTTGTAATATTCTTTGATGGGATAGATTTATGTGACGCGTTGCCATTGTAGGCGCGGAATAACAAGCAGACCCAAATTTGATCAATTTTTATTAATATTGAGATAATATATAACATAGGGTGACAACACGTGTGGCTCGAGTCAACAAGCAACGTGCTTACTTCCGCAACTCGATGAGTACAATACAATAAACCATGTTACACAAACACTAACGACGATGAGACACCGAAGTGAAACACAAGCTGTTTTTACAGAAGAAGAGCATAGAAGATATGCCTGGTACCTGACTTGATTCCTTCATGGATACCAAAATCCTACTGCTTACGCAGTATCGCCGCCGTGTACCCCGTCTTCCCTTTGCTAGCACTCTCTGCTGTGCCCTTGAGCCAGCAATTCGCCCCATTCCCTGTCTCATAGCTTTGGAGAAACTGTGAATTGATGACCACCGCCTTACATGTTTCGTTTTTGTTTGCCATGGCACTGTATTGGCTGCAAGCGTCCACACACTGCTCGAGAGTATACGCGGTGAATGCCATGAGATCGGAACCGTCCAGTATGTCGGTACTATCGAGACAGTCGTAGGCATAGCGGCCACTGATGTTATTCGCCTTGCCTTCCAGCTGACTGGAAACGAGTATTGTTGATGGACATGTTGAGTTGATCAACTGAATAGCACTAAAAGGTCGTGCGGAGTACGTCCCGCTAGATCCTTGGCTTGCATCAGGAGCTTCAACCGCTGCGGCTGTGGTGTTCGGTGCTAAAGTCTGTTCTGTTTTGTCGGCTGCGGCGGCTGCGGCTCTGCTAAAGGTTAGCCGGATGACAAGACAACACATGTGATACAGTAAGGCTGACATACTTTTGAGCTCTCTCTTGCACATAAAGGGAACCTCCTATACTGGCGGCAATGACCGCACCTAGTATAAATAGCGTGAAGACAATGATAAAACAGAACCTTCGCCGGCGATGATCATAGAACCTCTTCACCAGATCGGGAGGAACTTCGAGAGTTGTTCCACATCCAGAATGATCACTGCCTGGACCAAGACGAAAAGATATGCGCTCTTGAGATAGGCGAGTGCTGCATATCGATGCCTCCTCATCTGGAACAGAATGATCATGCAACTGTGGCAGTTTCGTGTCGCGGGTCGGAGTATATCGATGAACAGCCTCCGGGTAAGTCTCGATTTCTGCAATTTGCAGGCCTTCCGCTGATCTGACGGACTTTCCGCATGGCTCGGTAGCTGACTGTTTAGCCAAGGATTTGGTCAAGCTTTTCGAAGCAAGGGACTTTCCACATGCATCCGTAGGCGACTTTTTAACAGAAGAGTTGGTTGAAGCTTTCGAGGTAACGGACTTCCCACACACGCATTGATCCGCGGGTGACTCTCCAACGAGGGATTTGGTTGAAGTTTTGGAAGCAGCGGACTTCCCACATGGCTCCATAGGTGGTTCTTTAACGAAGGATTTAGTTGAAGCTTTCGAAGACACCATTGTACAAAAAGGGCAGGAATGCATGCAGTTGATATCGGAGACTGTTAGACGAGACTGTGTAACCGCTATAAGGAACCAGTATATGTTTAAGAGCTGTTTTTTCGCCTGGTCTAGCCCTCGCGTGTCTCGGACTTCATTGTTATGCCTATGCATGAACTACGGGTGCCCATGTGCTCGTAACAAAACAACGTGGAGTAGCCGAGATCTCGGTGTCTGGCCATCGCGAGCTCCGTATCGTGGAGACACAGCACAACATTGAAAAAAACAAGGATATCGGAAAAGGGCGAGGCTGGTACATAATTGCTCGATCTTTTGACATGTGGAAGGATTATTATTGGTCAATCAGTCACTCCGAGCTGTGAGATATGTATGAACAAAGAAATCCCTTGCCGACCCCTAACTATCAATTGTGCTTGCACGGCGCTTAATCAAGCCCTCATGCAAGCACCTTTCGATGTAGAGATTATTGGAATGTGGCGGGATATTATCCGATTTGATCGTCCTTGAAGCCCTGCCTCTCAGCCGCCTCTTCGTGTCTCTTTCGATGTAGGCGTACTGTCGCTTGACAAATACGTAGTGGGCACTACACCTCGCCTTTTTATTTACACATACACACACAGAATTGAAATCCGACTCTGTGATAATAGAGACTAGATTTGGACTTATTCATCACTGGTGCGAAAGCTGGGATGAGTCCCTGGCAGGCTGATCGCTGTCCGATTTCCACTAACAAGAACCTTATAGCATATAATGTTGGCTTCTGTTTACGAGCTCTTATTTGTGAGAGACACACGACAGATACTGTGAAAAATAAAATCGAACCAATATGCTTCGGTTGACAGTCGTAGTTGTCGAGATTCAAGGATCCGGCACGCCTGCACGCGTGACCGTGGGAAGTGTTTAGCACAGCCACCGCCACACTAATGACGCACTTCGTAGGAAACCCGTCACACGAACATAATTGGCAACAAAGTATTCGCAGAGCTTCCAGTGGATACTACAAGTACATCATCGCATACTGTGGCGCAGGCGTAAATAAGCACCGTTACTCTTGTCGACTCGTGCGTCTGGTTTGCGTGTCCTCTCCTTCATCTCAGCCAGGCAGCAACATTGTTCACATAGTCTGGGTTGCCACCTAGTGGACCGTCAACCTCCAAAATGGATTTCCCCCGCGGTCACGCAGCATTACCACTCACGGAAGGCGACTTTTTGGACTTCATTTACAACTATTTCAAAGCCGAATACTACCCGATCCGATCTTTCTGGTCCACAGCGACCGCTGTTCCGCACCAAGCCGAACGATGGGTGTGTATGGGACATGATCTCAAACCATACGAGATTCGACCTGCTCAGGCACAGGCGCAGAAAGATATAGAATCACTAGATTACTTCACGCGAAAATGGAATCTAGACGCCGGATTTGTGAGGGGCATAGTGATTCGATTTGCGACATACAAGGTGCACGAAAGACTGGAAAAGAAGCTGTACGAATGCGCTAGACTGGACTTGATGGTACGCAAGGCTTTGAAGGAGAAACATTTGATTGATGCACTGTGGCCCAGCCCTGCACCGCGAACTATTGCGAAAGAGTTATTGCAGCAGGGTGTTCAGGTTCGACAATGGTACGGTGACATGTTTCACAAGTACTTCCGCGTTCTGCACTCCTTGGACGAATTTCAATTGCGCGATGAAGTCGATCGTCACATCAAGAGCAGCGGAAACTTAATGCTACTGCCGGATGTAGAACATCTTGTATTCGGAAATGTGGATCCAATCATTCCCATTATCGCAAAAGGAGCAGGTTACACAAACGCGAAGAGTCGGCAGCGACAGGACCAGGG